ATTTCTCCGATGTATCGGCGCGACGGAACCGTCGAAAACTCGGGAGAAAAGCGTCGCGCAGCTCGGGGAAAAAAAGGTTGCGATTTTTCGCGTCGCGCGACCCTCGCGGGATTAAACGGGAAGTTTCCGGCATGTCGGCCGACGATAAAAGTTTCCGTAATTCCATACAATTACGCGGTCACTAATTCGAATGGAGAATTAGCGGCGCGGCGCGGTAACGTTTCCAGGACGATGAAATTTTAAACGCGAGGGTGGGTCGTTCCCGTAATGGGATAACGGGAATCGATGGGAGGATAAAGACGTGGGCCTACCCCCGTCGCGGGAGCATCAGCCCTCGTGCTCCCTCGTGAAAGCCAATCGAGCACGAACAACCACCGCCCCTAATCGCGAAGTCCCATTGGCCCGCGGAGTTACCCCAATTCTATTACACCTTCTGTCATGGCCATTTATAGCGTTTAATCGACCAGACCGAATATGGCGGCGATAAACCCGGCCGATGCCATCTCACCCCCTTTTATCGTTAAATGGAAAAACCGACGGTGTGTTCGTGCGCTCTAACTGCACGAACACCTTTGGTATTTTAAATTGTGTACTCCGATCGTTCGTGCATCTTCGAGGTGGAAAGTGAGAATCGTTGTGGGCAAATATTTTCAAGCGACTTAAGCGTCTTAATCCAATAAAAATTAAATATCGTCGAGTCGCTCAAAAAAGTTCGCCTCGATTTTTGAGTCGCACTCCGCTACGCATTTAATGCGAAAAGGATTATTTATTAACTGAGTAATCGCGACCGTTGTCCATCAGATTTTATCGACGGTATTAATCGACATTGAAGTATAAAATATGTTATTTTAACTCTTATGAATATCGACACAACACAAAATGTTCAAATAATATCAAACACAATATATCTAATAATAATCGCGGTGAATAATGAACGAGGCGTGCGCATTCGAGAATAATGTCCTCGGTGGAAACAAGAATCTAGCCGGATAACCTGCCTTCGGCGGAAAAGAAATATTGCGTTTATCGAGTCTGACAGTAATTATTCCGGCGCACTCGGGCTAGGTAAATTTAAAACATTTTTACTCGCCGCATCGCGATATTATTATTAAACTAACCGACCAACCAACCACTCTGGTGGCCGTTTATTTATGTCGCGCGCTTATCCAACACATGTGTGCGCGGGTAGTTATTTAGGCTCATTCTTAAATATTTACCTACAAAGTGCCCAGGCACGCTAATAATACCGGCGCAGGCATTAATACAGCGATTACTGTATACGATTTTGCCTGCTTTCCGCGAACGCGTCGAACATAAATGCATACACGTCACTCGCGTTAGCGTTATCGTCCGACGTGAGATGACAAAGTAAGCCGGAAAAAGTTCCGCAATTGCAACGCGGAAATTATTATAATAATAAGCGCCGATAACGACCTTTGCAGGAGGGAGGCATCCGTTTTTCGAGGCACCTCACTTAATTCGCGAGGTGCTGCCGCGTCTCTATTTTTCTTCGCGGAGAAGAAAGATCGGACGAATTAACGTGATAATGAATGACCAATAGTTTTTTGATCGAAGAAATCTCCAATTTTTATAAAAAAAAGTGCTAGAAAAAAAAGAACAAAGCATTTTTTTGCAATATAACTGGATCTGATTTATAAGAATTCTATTTCCTTCAACCAAAAGGTGTTTAGTTCATTCAGGCTCATATTATTTCAATCAATCTTTCTTCTCCGTACTCTTCCGTTATTTCGATGCTTCAAAATTCGACATATCAAATTGATTCCAATTGTAATCAATTCGTCCCTGACAAGCGTGTCCGGGCATCGATACTTCTCGAGTATCGCGGCAATCAGTTATTCTCGAGCGACGACAGCAATTACATTTCTCTTTTCGATTTTCCTTTTCCTGAGATACGACGACTCTCCACGTGTTTGCAATTTCCTGGAGAGAATTAGTTAACTCGTCGGCGCACCATGACTTCATTAGATTAGCAATTCTTATTTCGTACCGCTTATCTGCGCTTATCCGCATCGTGGACAACATAATTCGTATTGCGTGCTCGTAAATTCGATCGTCCCGACGTATGACGCGTCGTTCGTTCCTTCGTTACAATGTATACGAAACCGCGTTACGAAATTAACGATGCGCATTACGTGGCATAAGGCGGGCAACGAGAAGGATTGCGAAAGTGCGTTTGTATTCCGGAGTACATTTTTTCTTTTCTTTTTTTTTTTTAATAAATGCAGAACACTGCAGTTATGCGTGTGCACATTTACCGAAGAAATGTATGATATCCGCCGCGATCAAATTATATCGACAAAACGAGGTCGTTCGCGTGCATTTTCATTTACCGGAGGATCACCAGATTTTTCTCCCGGAATGTTCACAACTCGGAGCTGTGAAGACCGAGCCGTTTCCCCGTGCGGTGTCGCGTCCGTAATTTGTTAATCAACGTGCTATCTTGTTAATTACCCGATAACAAGCCGATAGTCCGGCAATGGACTCGGGCGAGTGAGGAGATTCCGTTATCGCGCGCGGGCTCGTTTCGCTTTATCGGCCGGCGACTAAATGGTAATTCGCTATTTATTCGCCAGCAGGAAAGTCGAGTAATGCGCGTTATCGCCGCCGTTGGCCGGTGTTTTGCATATCGGTCTCGACTGGAAACTCGGCAACGCGCGCGCGTTTTTCCGCTCGCTACGGGACAGCTTTTCTTCCCGGCAACTATGTGTTGTTCGACTTAACATTTACGACGCCTCCCGATGGTATCGGCACGTCGGAAGCGCCCAACTTGCACGGGTCATATTTTTACATCGAGCTAAGAATCGACTTAACCGCGCGCATTTGTAAGCGCGCAAATTACACAACGCCCGATAGGGCGCGCGATACATTTTCCTCGGAATGTTTGAATATGAATGTTTCAACAAGAGAACTACTCCCGCGAATTTAACAACATTTCTGTTATTATTCCGCGCAATCTCGCCGCGCGTTCAATATTGAATGTGCATTACACGTTATGTAATGCGCCTTAATTGCGTTATAATTAAATAAATTGTCGGTATAAAGCCGTGAGAAGCTAAATATGGATGTTCTAATTCGATATTAATAACATCAAATTATTAATATAATAACGGGGAGATAAAGTTGTCCACCGTGAAACGTACTGAATCTTTTCGGACAGACAAAACGTGGTGAAAACCTTTCAGGTATGAATCGAGGCCGAGATAGTATTTTTCGCAACCTAATAAGTAGAGTCATCAGATCGCTTATAAATTTAGTTAGCAATTGAGTAAAGGGTTTCTAAAAATTTCGAATTGATAATATAAATATTTCTAGAATTTAAAAAGGGTTGGTTCATACATGGAAGGTTGTTGCCATGTTTCGCCTGTTCGAAAAAATTCGGTACGTTTCACACACGTGAAAACTTTGCCCTCCCATTATTATATTAATAATTTGACGTTATTAATATATAATGGAATTAGAGTATTCGTGCTTGGCTAATCATGGCCTTATACTAATAATTTACCTTTTATCGGATCATACTTTTATATTGAATATTCGTCAAATAACACAACGATTGGGCGTTCAATGTCCGCGCGATCTGACAGCGACAACCTCGTTAGGTGAACAAACGACGACAGTATTGGTCATTATTGTGTTTCCAGGTTTTTTGCGATTTACTAATGCGCCGCCCGACGGCGGTGACGTAATAATTTGCCTCGTAGCCCGGATCTAATTGGCGTCGTCTCAATCACGCGTTTATCTACACCGTCGATACGTGTCGGCAATAACGGCAACGCGATACAGTTTTTGCCGGATCCATGGGCGGACTAATTCCGAGTTAATCGCTGTCTTATCGCGATCTACCGACTTTAAATGCGCCTTAATTAACTCCGCCGGCTCTTATAAGGGCCGTCGCTTTTTGCGAAATCTCGGGCACAAAAGGCGCGATGAAAAAGTCGAGCCTGGGGAAGAATGTCGTGCGGTCGATCCGCTGATCGACGAGGGTAAACCGATCGCCCCTCCAAGGCCCGGCGTCACGATCGATCTTCCCTTCTCTCTCTCCCGCCATGGAAACGATTTCTCGGTCGCGACTGTCGAGCGAAAATCGTTGCGTTGATGGAAATCGCTCGATTACATCCCTCCGAACGGCTGTTGCGCTCGACACGGTTTGTGATCAAACCCGTCAATTGCGATGAAATGAATCCTTGGAGTTTGACATTCGTCAAACTCCGCGCGTTGACAGACCTCTCGATATTCACGGATATGTACAAAAAAAGCGGAGCGTGTTTGTCTCCGCTCGCGACGCGGATATCGTTGTGTTTGTCTTTTGTTCGTTCTCGCGTAGCCTCCTTTCGCAATCCGATTTCTGTGCAAGTACGCGAGAGCTGCCAATCAAGCCGGTATCAGTTGGCGGGAATGAAAAAGACGCCGCGATATTAAGGATTCCGCGGCAGCGTGCAATTAAGAAAGCGATTTTTTACACGACGGCAAATTACACGGATCGCGCCGTTAATTACATTCTCGGCTTAATCAGACCGATAATTAAGCCGCCTGCTAGATGGCCTCAGAATATAATTTCGCGTGTACCCCCGCCGCGTGTGGCCGCGTATCGTTAACCATGAGCGATTGTTTCCCCGCGCTCATTTTTATCCTTCAACACGCGAGTCGCCGAACTTCAAGGTGGATCTGAGAAATCCCAGGAAGGGATTCTCAAAGTACAGAAACTCACCAGTTGGTTGCGAGTTGACTTTTGCTGGATGAAAAATATGTGAAAATATCGAATTACACTTCGCGTAGCTACGCAAACTTAAGCCGAGTACAGATTTGCTGCATACAATGTATCGCCAAAGTTGGAGATACACGTTGGAAATAAAAGCTCCGCGTAATTACGGGAGGGACATGGTCGAAGTGCGTTCCTCGAATTTGGAGGTGCCACGAGATACGTACCTTCAAATTTCGAAGTACTGTCTCGCACATATTTAGAAAAACTCAGGACTTACTTGGCGAGCGTTCGTCCTCCTGCGCGGGCACGTCCGCCTCCTCCACGTCGACGAGACTGCGGATGCTGAAGACGCTCTTGGCCACCCTCGTCTTCTGCAGGTCGCCGACGCTCTCCGTGGCCCTTCTGGGCGTCGTGCTGAGGTCCATCGTCGGTATTCACACAATTTTCCGTCACACGACGGCCACCACCGCGAGGATGTCCTACGGACGGCGATTTCGCGTCGTCGTCCTTGCCCCCCGCATCGTCGTCCGCGTGGCTCTCGAGCAGAGCGTTGAACCTCCGCGAGGGAAAGAGTCGCGAATTGTTCCCGGGTGTTCAGCACAGCTCCCGATATCCGAAGAGTCCAATTTGCAGTTCCGGTCGGTGGCGATGTTTCGAAGTACCCTCCCGTTGTCCCCTCTCGATCGAGATCTTTCGATCACTTTGAGTCGCAACACTCGTCACACAAAAGTCGGATAGCGCATTGCCGTCGATTCGAAGAGAACTCGGCGATAAGTCGGTTTTATCAAAAACGGACACTCGCGACTGAGGAATCGGAGGTGTTCTTCTCCGCAGCTTATCTGCGAGTGCCGGCGCGAGAGATCTTCCCGTCTCAGGATCCGATGCACCCGATCATCGCTCGCCGATGTGAGGCGCGCTTTGCCCTTCAGGACGCACGTCGTCAACGATCAACAACGCGTCAGCCGGCGTGATATCGCCGCGATTGTTATCGTGGCATGCTCGACGGGCCACGCAAGACCGTTGATCTCGTAAACTTAACCTAAAACTTCGTGCACGCACGCACGCTGACGGTTCGCGCGACGACCTCTCGGCCGTTTTGTTTACGCCGACCGGCGTCGACCCCCGCTTGTTTTCCCGCGCAACCGGTTCGTCGTGAAAGTCACCCTTTGCACACAGTCATTTCCGTTTCGCGTGCATCGCGGGAACGATCAGCTGACCACGCGCCACGTGACGTAACGACTCGCGAGGTGTCGCCTGGGAATTCGACGCCGACCGGTCGAGTCGCTGTCACCTTGAAGCAATTGTCGCAGTGTTCATCTCAGACGCTCAGCTGACGTCTCGAGAAACAGGATTGCCCTTTCCGTCGAGAGAGATCGCGGGGCCGGCTGAATGTGTCGACCTTGAGCGTGTTCGATCCTTTCGATTACTCGCGCGGCAATGCCCGTCGCGCACGTAGGCTTGCTGATATGTACCGTCACTCTTCGGGCTCTTCTCATCCGAACACTTCCCCGTCCGATTCCGTTCCGCGTGGCCGGTTGTCACATGGCGGCACGTCGATTTCTCGTCGAAGCTCGATCAGAGTGCATCGCGAGCGTTCTCCAGTGCGCCGGTTAACGCGGACGAGCGTCGTCGAGGGTCCCCGGTTTCAGTCACGACGAGGCAGTCGGCGATTCGACAGTTCCGTCATGACAACCGTCGGGACAACACGCTCGCGAGAACGAGGAGCGCGCGGCGGCACACGCGTATCGCGAACTCCTGTCCGGCAATGTGCGCCGCCGCATTCCCTCCACTTCGAGGAGGTCGATCGCTTGCTCAAGGTGATACTAGGTGGGTAGAGGGGAAGGAGAGAGAACCTGCAGGACCGCCTTCGTGGAACAAAATGGAGTTGAAAGCAGTCCGAAACCCCGCCTATCGGGATACACCCACGGTTGGTAACCGCGACGAGGAGGGTTGACTCTTCCCTCCCCTTCGGGGATTGCTCGTCCTGGGGGAGACGGAGAGAGCTTAGGTATACCGGTCGATGCCTCTTCGTATGCACGCGCTCAGAGCTAATGTACATCTCGACTCGAATTTTTACTCCTACTTTCTCGAGTCGAAAGTTTCGTTCTACGTTAAGTTCTTTTTTAGTTCAACATTAAGCCTTCAAAAGTTTTTCATTGTGCTACTTCGATGCTGCAAATTGGAAGTTATTATTGTTTTCTCCACTTCAATGTAGGACCAAAATTTCGACTCGGGGCGTTGATGATTTCAATTCCCGAGAGTTGTCTGTCAATTCTAAGCGCTAATTTCGGGCGCTATTGTTTCCAATAGTTTTTATTAGGTTCGTAAAATGTCTCATCTTTTCCCACGAGATACTTTCTCGCTCGTAATCACTCGGAACCGGACTGTCGCCCGTATATGAGTGACGCAATTCTTGTTGGAATGCATGAATCATTAGTACAAGAGTGACATGGCAGTTAACGTGTTAATGGGATATTCTCCACGACCTCGCTTCACTGACTCCCGCTTTATCGGAAGCAATTGAAAGAGCGATAGTTCGTTAATCTCGGGATAATGATTTATGGTCTCGTAAATAAACGAACATTAAACATTTTTTCCTTGAGCGTCCATTAGATACTTTTCGTCTGCCGAACGAGGCAGACGGATGGTCGGCTCGAAAATTTAACCCTACATCAATCCTGCAAATATCGTCGAATTTGAAAAATTAATTAAAGAGACTCTTAAGATATAATACGTACTGTATAGACAATGTAATAATTATGTATCGCTGCTCACGCGCGTCCTCAATCATAGCTTCCTGATTCAACATCCTGGCTGCTCCAGATACTTATTGGCACTAATATTCGTGTACATAAGATTCAATCGGAAAAATGTGTGTTAAATAACGCGATGATGACGGTTGAATATTTCTCCAGTCGGGTGATTTTCATCGGGATTTGGGAAGAGATGGAGGGGGCGCATCGAGGCGAAGGGCAAATTCGCTGGGCAAATAAGCGAGCTCGATGGATGCGTAATTTTCTTTGATTTATTTCATACGTGGTATTCGTTAATTTTTAATACGTACATTACGTAGTGCGTTTAATAATTCGCCGGCCGTTAGAAGCGCCTCGATCAAGTGGTAGAAAATTGCGAAGTGGCAGCTTTCGGTAACGATCGGACATCTCCATGCGGGAGAAGAAACTTCCTCGATCGGTTCAACCCTTTCAGGCCCGTCTTACGAACATAATCATCGCATGAACGTACGCTGGCGATATTGAGTTCATTAATTTATAAGTGAGAATGGGGGGATTCCGATTTCGCGGAGTTTACAGACTCCGCCGGGCTTACAGTTGGCGGGAGCGGGTGGGCTTGTGCGTAAATAAAGGCGATAAAAGCGCAGGCCCAAAAGGGATCATCAAACGCGGTCCGCTAATAATACTGTTTCGCGAGTAACGCACCGAGCGAGACGCTTCGAGTCGCTGGGAATTTTATAACGGCGGCCGTTGCCCTGCACATTCCGACGAACACAATTAATCTGGGTGAGTAATACAATTCCGCAGTGACACGTCGCTTTACGGATCCCTACGTGCGGCTACGATCGACGCGAAAGAATTCTGTACGAACCGAAACGGGGGGAAAGACGTGGCGCGCCACTACGCGTGTGGAGTGTCCTCGTGCGAACGCGCGAATGTAAACATCTATACACGGTTCGAGGATGCGAGCTACTTCCTGACGAAGTCTCCCCTCTCTCTTTTTCTTTCTTTCTCTCTTTTTCGTGTCTTTTAATGACACTCAATGGATGAACCGTGATCGTGACCTATCGGCTCCTACTTCTATGGTGTCCCTACAAGTAAAATTTCCGACGTAACGACATAAATAAAAACGAACGATCTAAATTAATTTACATTGCGTGAGAATAATAATTGCGAGAAAGGTGATCGTTTTTTTCTTTTGTCTTCTTTTTTTTTTGCGTAATAGACGATCGATTCCACTTTGCCCTTTGCGATGTGAGTTTTCTCTCAGTGGGGTACTTCGATACAAAGCAATTTCTTTTTGGTCTCTTTCACTTCGTCATGCGAGCGCGTGAAGACGCGTCGAATCATACGTGCGTATTCGTTCGATAATAACAAACACGGAATTAGCGAGCTGTACACCGGGTTTCAAAACGGTTCGAACCGTTGTGCAAACGACCCGTACGGGGGAAAAAAAAGAATATGAAAAAAATTACTGATATTTGTTCAATTATTTGTTCTTCAATGATACACCAGTAATTTTTTCTCGTGTTCTAATTTTTTCCGTACGGGGAATGTACAAAGAACAACGAAAATGATCGAAAGCGCGTTATGACGAGTCACACTCGTTACTTTTGCAATGTACCGCCTTTCGAATCGGTAACCGAAACTAAGAACTACAAAGAGAACATAAAAATTTCCTACACATCGTACACATTTTGCCGCCACGGGCGTTGAATCAACGAAAGCTTGCGGGGATATCGTTTAACATAAAACGTTCTCCGTCTCGATGCGCTCGCACGGAGCGCGACGTTTGATTTCTGCTTTTACTTCGCGGACGAAGATATTCGAGTAAAATTCGTCCTCGAACGTAAGTGAGAAAACACATGTATCTTTGGCACAATAAATATGAACATTACAGTCATTCGTGTCGGCCGATACCGCATCGACCTTCCAGTTCCTCTCCTCACCTTACTACATTTCACTTCATTTTTAATCTCACTTCGTCTCATTTCTCCTCGCTTGACCACGGCATTTGAGATCTTTTCGCGTTCCTCCTTCACGTTGATACGAGAAATCACAATCGGTCGAAATGAAAAGGAGACAAGTATCGTGATGATACAATAGATAATTACAATTAATGATATTAGACTTAGCACCTAATGGGGTCATTCGCATCAATCGCAAATTAACAGTTAACGTTTCAGCTACTCGCAAGGAGTCCCGAGAATACCGATAATGAAGAACGAAGTACAGGACCCTATCTTAATCGGCCTAAGAAAACTAGGAAAACCGTTTCGTCAACTCGCGTCGTTGGCCGTCGAAGAAAGTTGCAGGCGCAAAGTATCGAGGGTGCATCAGCGTTCGCTGGAGCACATCTGCAGACGAGCTGAACGATAAGAATACGAGCAGTCTGAATTTTAACCGAGTAATCTTCTTTTTTCGTTCATTAACATCAAAATCGACCAGCTTTCCCCTGTTTTATTCGAATTTGACAGTCAACGTGTCAAATTCGAGTCAGTATTTATAAGTCAGGAATTTAATCTTCGATACACCATCTATTGAAATCAATTTCAGTTTCTGAATTTTTTGAAAAATTCCTTTCGTCAGGTTTGATATTTCATGACTTACTCTTTTTTAAGTCTACCAAAGAGCAAATTTACTCTCAATGACAGGATAAATTTAACCCTGAATTTAATTAACATCACACTAAA